TAAATTTTTTTGTGTAAAAACTATCAAGATCGCAAATAACGTGATATTAAGTTTATATAATATAATCGATATTATCATGAAGCTTAGATAAAATAAATAAAATTAATTTTCTACAAAATACAATATATAATATTAATTAGTTTTAAATAATTACAAATATTAATTGGTCTCTTTAGTCATAATTGTTCTGCATACAAAGTTTAAAAATCTTATAAAACATGAAGCTAGTATAAAGTATAATATGTATAAATAATAATACAAATAATATATAAATGTATAAAGTTAAGGAAATTTCTCCTTTCTTCTTGTTATCGCAAACAATACTGGACAATATTTACGTCGTGATATTATCTTCAAATACATAACGGACAATAACTTAATATCTTTGATTACACGTTTTTGATAACGATAATGCCAGATATAGCCACTGAAAGAAAGAGACAATTTGATTATTTCGTTGACTTACAAATGAGACCAGATTATAGAACAATCAACACGAATGTAATACAAACCTCGAATTAACATTGATACATGTGTCTTATTAAGCTATTATTCATTGAATATAATGAAATATGAACGTTTGTTACATATTTATTATTCGTTCCGCGATAATTAAGACATGAGGATTTTATGTCGTTATTGACGCTTCAGATTTCTCTCTCTACACTAAATGATCAAAGATATCATCGACATAATCGACAATTAGTGTAAAAAAACACAAAAGTAAAAAAGATAAGAAAGTAAGTTGAAATAATTAATATTCTTCCTCTTAATCTATTCATTCAACTTTTTCCTGTTCGATTTGGCTCGATCTGGGGAAAGCATTTTGCAAGTAAATGAGCAGTATTATATAATGTATCAATTAGGATTAGTCCGCATTCTACGCATTCTTCGATCGGTTTGTGATCTTCTTAGGAATGAAGAAAAAATCAGGCACGATTATCGAGATTTTATTGATCGTGCTCGCATACCGGCAACTTCTCTGACGCAACCGATAATTGTTGTTGGATTTCAAACGCAAACACCGTGCGATTGGTCTTACTGACGCAACGTGGTCTTGATGACAATGACACAATTTGTATTCGATTCCGCGTTTATACGTGACGCCCATGTAAACTTCATCGAGGGCATCGTAATGAACGTACTACTAACCGAATAAAGAACACAAATTGTAATTGAAGATCGAGAAAATATGTCACTTTTATATTTACGACAGAAAACTTAGAGATTAAAGCATTAATTTGTTTTCCCTCATTAAAACGAACGATTATGTAATTTCCTTTTCTCGCAGTACATAATTGAAATAAATTACTCAGTACAATACCTCAACTAATAGTGATTGTATCAATATTATAATTTTCTATTTACACACAATGTGACATAAATTATATTACATTTATATTGTTGAGTTAAAAATTATAATATTGATGCAATGTCTCTGTTAGTGACGTTTACTGGATGTATCCTGAGGAATATAATTTCTCTTTGCAGCATGGTTCGGATGTAGACACAGTCAGGTGGGACTCATGTGCATGGGCTTCTTCTGCTGCTACGCCATCCGGGTGACGACGTCGGTGAGCTTGGAGGCGATGACTAACGCGGCCAGTGCCAATCCCGATTTCGAGGTACGTCAATCAACAACGCTGATTCTCTTCTCTATCCCCGTGATCTAAAAGAGACACGCGTCTTTCATCTCCATCGAAGGAGTTCCGATGGGACGAATCGGTGAAGCACTTGATCCTCAGCTCCTTCTTCTGGGGCTACCTGCACGCAAATACCCGCCAGCATCCTCACCCAGCGATGGTCCGCCCAGGGATTGTTCTCGATGACCCTCGTCATCTCCGGATTGCTGACCCTCGTCACCCCATGGGCCGCACATTACGGCGGCTGGCAGACAGTGATCGCCGGGAGGGCGATATGCGGCCTGGTCCAGGGCGCCGTCCTACCGTGTCTGCACACTATGCTGTCCAGGTGGGCGCCGCCTGAGGAGCTTGGTAGATTTTGTGAGTGTCATTTAGTTAACACGCGGAGTAAACGCTTTTACTTCTGTTTAAATGGCCAAGTATTCTGAACGAGTTAAGAACAAAAGTTTTCGGCATTTGCCTGCTCAGTGACTGACGGTTCTCGTATTCATTAAAAAATTGTATATATATCATTTTCGCGGAATATTGTATCATTTGTCGTAATTTTATCATTTGTTTGCCGAAGCGAGGGCTTAAAAGCTTTCGAAGACTGACACTCTAAGTCGCCTGAATCATACGATGAGCCAGTGGCACGATGCTACACATTTTTTAAATCCTGGTATCTCTGCGTACTTGGAGTTGCTCAAAATGTTGACATTTTAAAGTCAGTGATTTTGTTTGTTGCATTTTACTTTGTTGAAAAATGTTGCAACTTTTAGTTTTTCGTCCCAATTTCAGTATCAATTTGCTTTGTGTTTTTTTTCCTTTTGAATCAAGTTGGCATGCTATTAGCTACAAACTGTTGCTTGACAATGGCATTGCAGAAATGTGATTTAATTAGCAGGCACGTCAAGTGTGACGTATATAGCAGATAGGAGAAATTCTTATCGCAGTCTCGTGATGTCAAATTGATTAAGCACGTCAAGATTGTCGCGTGAGAAGCCACTTACGATTTAATATCTCAATAAAGAAATTCCTATAGTTTCAGTTATCCAAACTATTTGAATCTCCTGATTATTTTTCATGGTTAAAGCAGTTTCCGAAATCTTCTGCCTTTCGAGAACCAACTTACAAATTCAATTACAGTAAATACAAATAAAAATGCTCGCAAGAATTAAAAAAATTTTTTTCTTCAATAAACAGACTAACGATAATCGCGTCGAATTTTGGCACAGAAGAATCGTGGTTGCATTTCACGTATTTCTCCAGCAATGTTCCTTTATTCCGGCGGCTGGATCGGCAACGTAGCATGTTTGCTGAGTTCCGGCTTCCTCGCGGCATCATCCCTCGGCTGGCCTAGTTGCTTTTACGTTTGGGGCAGTCTCGGCGTACTCTGCGGTATCTGTTTCTACTTGTTCGGCAATGACTCGCCCGCCGAGCATCCCCGCATACCTCTCGACGAAAAGGAATACATCGAAACGAGTTTGGGAGTAACGGAGATCGCCGAGGTAACGCGTCTCCTCACTTTGGGATAAGAGACAAGAGAAACAGAAAAAAAACACGCGGTTTAATTAATCACGTAAGATAATAAAGCAGACTCGTAAATCAAAATTAATTTAAAGTTTCATTCATATAGGATCAAGTAAATAAAAGATTTAAGGGGTTGCAAGCAAGTGTTGTAATATTTGAAGATTAAAAGATTACGAGACGAATCTCGTCTTCAATTTCCCACACGTCGTTCTCTTTCTGCCTTCAGAGACCATCCACTCCGTGGAAATCCATACTGCGAAGCGTGCCGGTCTGGGCACTACTGATAGTGCAGTGCGCGCAATCCTGGGGATTCTGGATGCTGCTGACGGAAATCCCATCCTACATGACTTCGATCATGGGCTTCAAAATCGCGAAGGTCGGTCTCCCGTACAGTTCTGTAAATAACTTCGGTTAGAATGTAAGCTTTCGTTTTTACCGTTATTACGCTCTTACGAGATTTCGAAAACCTTGAAATTAGTCGCCCTCGAATTAAGTCGCGCGCGTGCCTCGACTGCGAAAATCGTGCGCGCCACGTTTGGAATATTAATTAATAATTCCATACGTACGTGGACGAGATCATGGAAGAATGATTAATATGCTACGTGAGACTTGGGTAAAGTCAAATCTCTGAATCATCATGGACAACGTGAACATTAGACCGCCTCCAATGTCGTATTGTCAATGAACGAATCAATGACGGCCGAAAAAAAAGAGTTCAATGAAATGTCGAAATATCTCTTAAGTTTTAATAAATATTTCTCAATGTAAGCTTCATATATATTTTTCCAATAATACTTTATCAATTAAAAATATTATTCTACCGACAAAATCAAATTCTTAATCTTTAATCGAACGTTTCGACATTAATGTCCACTTCTACCAATATACATTAACTTTAATCTCGATTTAATTTATTTTTTATCGTTTTCTAACTCTTCGAACTAGGAAAAGATAAATTAAGCCAAGATTAAAGTTGAACTGCTGATAGAAATGGATACAAGTAAGATACCTCCTAAAAATCAGATCTAATATAAGTAAATCAGTCGATATGTCAATCGAGGTGAATAGAAAACGTTTTACAGTAACACCTCACTAAATTTCTACTAAAGCGACCAATACTATCCATTTCTGATTGCACAGAACGGTATGATGACGGCGTTGCCCTATTTGTCGGCGTGGATCGCCGGTTTTCCAATCAGTTACATATCCGACCTGTGCATCAGACGGAAGATCGTGACGACTGAGACGTCCCGTAAGATCTGCAATAGCTTCGGACACTGGGTCCCGGCGGCCGCGCTGGTCGGGCTGGGTTACGTGAGGAAAGACCAACCGGAATTGGCCGAGGGCATCCTTGTCATCGCCGTGTCCTGCAACGTCGCCACTTTCTGCGGCCACAACATCAATCACATGGACCTCAGCCCGAACTTCACCGGCCCGCTCATGGGATTCACCAACACCGTCGCGTCCATGTGCGGCATCCTCGCGCCGCTGATCGCCGGGGTGATCATCAAGGATTCGGTTCGTGACGCCCTGCGTTTTAATTATGAGACTACAGTTACTTGCATCATTCGTCGCCAAAAATTGCCTCGATTGTCTCGTCATTTCCTTCTGACTTTCAGACCAATATATTGCAATGGCAAAGCGTGTTCTTCCTGTCGGCTGGAATATACACGGTGGGCAACCTAGTCTTCGTCCTGCTCGGCACCAGCAAAGTGCAAAAGTGGAATGATCAGGTTGAAAGCAAGCGGGACGGCGTCGTGCGGAAAGTATCGATGGCGCCGATGACCATCGCGACAATACAGGAGAAGGACATTGAGAAAATCCCATGACAATAAAAATAGAGAAACATTGCGCGACAATGCTTGTCTTCTCTTTTTATATTTTATTTGTCAAATTACACGTCTATCTGTGTAGATGTGTGATTCGCGTGGTGACTTCTGAATGACTCAGAACATCGTCCAAGTCATTCAGAAATATATAAAAACATGTTAAATACATGTTAAAACGTCTGGACTAGAAGTTGCGTGTAAATATCGCTCGGACATATATATTATGTATAAAATGCAAGTCGCATGTGTACATAGGACGTGCCGGAATCGTCTCCTCTTAATTTATTGCTCAAGAATGCAAGCGGCGAAACTAATTCCGTCCTAATGTTAATTCGGAACTCTGCAGTCGCGGAAATATCGTAATTCGCGTTAAAGAGCTTGGAATGTAGCCTAATTTAAATTCACATTTTAAATAAAATAAAAATGTTTAGTCTAATCTTATTTAAATAGAAAGACTGGCGTTTGCTTAATCGTATGTCTCGTACAAGAAAACTCGATATATCAAATCTGTTTAAGATGTCAATAAAAACTCGATAATTGTATCAATGTGTATGAATAAAAATTTAATACAAAACTGCATTTTAATTTTAGCTATCTCAGTCTTCTTTCGGGTGACTTTGCGACGCGTTGGTCCGAATGGCGCGCCCGATGAATATCGCGCCGACAATCGTCGTCAGTAACGTGGCGCAAGTGACGAAGAGCGACAGGGACGAGTCGCCGACCGGTATCGGCCAAACGTAGTCGCAATTCCTCGACATGCGGTACGGAATTTCACGCCACTTTGCCACTAGGTCGACACACGGCTCGCACAGGTCTATCTTGGACACCCGGTGGTCCCTGACCCTCGCCCGGCATCCCAGCAGCAGTCTCGGCTGGGGCAGAGTCACGTTGACGTAATCGCCGGTGTCGCGCGCGTATCGGTACCGTTGGTGAACAGGAATCGTCAAACTGGAGGACGACGAGCTGACGGGTGCGCAGGTCGTCACATTCTGCCGACCGGCCTTCTCTGCGAATAACTCGACGTCGGTCTCACCGACGGAACACACCATATTCTGCAATATTAATAATTAATTAATTGGGCGATTAATCCGCTCTTAAATAGGAGCACAGATGTATTTACATTTATATTATGTGTACAACAGAGTAGACCTCGTTTAGATGTTAGGGTGGATCGTATATTAATGTAAGCAGACCTTTCCTAGATATTCTAGATTTTCTAGATGTAGTTCTTATTGTCCATATAAATTTATAAATTACTGAACGTTAAGATTTATGAATATCGAAACAATGTGAATGACATATGGTCTCGTGATGTGCAACGATTAGAAAGGAATGTTAGGCCAGTATTCGTAATCAGATCTTATGTTCAAGACTGTCCCAAGATCATCTTTAGACACTCCGTAGCCAATGAAACGTTCCGTACGGCATCTTTAGATAAATTCAAGACTTGAATATAAAATCCGACTATAAATACCTTGGCCTCAGTAATGTTAGCTTTAATTTTATACTGGATACAATAAGCAGAGCTCAATCGTTGTCCAAGCTGCAGCGATTTTAAAAACGGCGAGGAAGAATTGCTCCTTCGGTATTACCAAGATATGAATAAAACGTAGAAATATGATAAACATGCGAGATCCTAAAGCTGGTCTGTTTTCTCTTACCCAGAAAGAAAAAGGGTCGAGATTCCAACTTCTAACAACTCATCGTAGACCGGGCTTAAGATTCACAATTAAAGTACATAGTACAAAGTAACAATTAGACCGTGAAGGAGAGTTTGCTTATTGTCACCAGTAATGTTTAGAAATGAGACGGGGAAACTAATAGTCAACCCAACTGGCTAATTATTTAATCGATTTATTACACAACGTTTCGACCCTATTTTTTGGGTCCTTTTCGAGTGATACTGCAAATCAACAATAACGTTATCACTCGAAAAGTGCCCAAAAAAATAAAGTCGAAACGTTGTGTAATAATCGATAAAATAATTAGCCAGCTGGGTTGACTATTAGTTTCCCGTCTCAATTATACCGTGCCCCGTCTTCTCATTTCTGCAATTTCGTCGGTGTTGACGTACAACGCCGACGGCAATTCCATGTAAATGGCAGCTCGACAGCCGTCCTGCGTCAGATTCCTGAAGCGTACGCGATAGATCAGGGCTCTGCAAGAGGAAGGAACGTTGACGCACGTGGAGCGCTCGTTGTTTACACAACACAAACGACGTTTCTAACCTGTGGAATCCGTTCCCTTCCACGTCGAGATCGACCTCGGCCGCGACCGCCGCGCAAACCTGCACGCCTCGCGCGCACAGAAGCAGCGCGACGATAATTCGCGAGAGACTCGCTTCGCGCGCCGTCATTTCTGCACCCCTAGACCATCGCGTACCCTTGTTGACGTTTACGTGCGCCAAGTTCACCGGCCACCATTGCTGTTGCCGTTGCCACCGGCGGCCCCTGTCGCAATACATTGCATATTCTATATTCGACGTTACAAATTGCCAAGAGCCGCGTCAATTATAGAGCAGTGGTGCGACGCATTTAAATATTCGTGCACGCACGACTGTAGGTTTTTTGTTGCCATTCTAATGTTCATTTCTACACAAGGTGTATGTATGTAGATTAATCTCGGTTATCGGCACTGCTGCTAATGCGGATTAATGTTAATCTTGATTTGATAATTTTACGTCCTTTGCCTGCAGCTCCAAAAACTAGAAAGAGGCAAAAAGCAAGTTAGACCAAGATTTACATTAAATTACGTTGGTAGAATTCAGCTTACAAGTTAAAGGTGCAAACCGCAAGCGTGACAATTTCGAAAGCTGCAATTGTTGTAAATTTTGTTACGTTTTCCGTTTACAGCAGACAAGTTCGATTCGTTCAAGATCTATCGAGCATGATTTCAATATCTATTCTACTTCGCTGTCGCGTGCATTGCAGTACATTGTGCACAAGCAGATAGAGAAACAGCTCGGGCCGCACGCCGGCGTTTCACTTGTTACCGTTTCGCTGGGCTGCTTCCAGCGCCTCACGCCGACTTTTGTCTTTGGAACTACTCCGCTCCGCCCATTTTCAAGCACTGTCGATAAAGTCCCCACTTGGTGGCGCGTCCGTGCTATGCATTTCGACGTCTAATTTATTAAGTTTACATTGTCCACATGAAAAAAAGCACCGTGCAAGCAATTCGTGTAGACGTGAGGTTGAAATTTACGGCGTAATTCTGGAAAATGGGCGTAGAGCACGGATACATACCACTTTATCGACAGTGCTTGAAAATGGGCGTACAGCGGTGTAGTTCCAAAAGTGAAAGTGGGCGTAAAGCGCTCTCTCGGGTCTCCCTGCGCTAGCCGTCGAGCGCACACGTATTTACGACGTGTTGCTTGCGTGCGAGCGTGCGCGCGCAGACCGACTATCCCCACTCCATCCTCACCGCCGCGGCACCGTCCGTGCTAACGTTCTCGGCTGGGAACACTGCTGGGAACACTGGTCTCGGATACGGTTGTGAGGTATTGTTTTCCTGCCGTTTGGCACACGATAATAACACGCCCCGTCAACGTGATCTCGGGTGGTGCGATGAGAGGACGATGATTCCGCGCGACCTGGCACGTCGGTTACAAGCGGATGGTAAATGCGCACGCTGCATCAGGTTAGGCCCACGAGGTAGCTTGCGGCCACACGTGCCTCCGAATCCCGCGCGACAGAATCATGTTTCGTTCGGAGAGGACGGAGGAAACCGGCGGACGCCACAGGGTGAGTCGCGTCGCACATTCCAGCATTCTGGACCGATAAAGACGAGATAAAGTTCGTATGTCGTGTGCAAATTGGGACGAGCTCTCGGGAGGCCTTGCCGCTCATCGCGATTTTGCCATCCTCGGCGTTTGTAATAATTTGTATCACTCGTCGAGTAAATTCCGAATCAACTTCTCGTCACGGCAAATTAATACAAACAAAGGTCGTTCTTATATTTAAGATAGTCGGGCCCTTAACAGAAAGGCTGATTTCAAGGCAGTGTTTATACTCGTCTATTGCCAAGGTTGAGAAGTAACGCGTAAAGGCTGGTCTACAATACATGGAGTAAGCTGGAGTAAGCTGGAGTAAGGAGTAGGAGTAAGGAAATAAATCCATTTTATTTCCTTACTCCTACTCCTTACTCCAGCTTACTCCATGTATTGTAGACCAGCCTTTACTTGTAACGTCGTTACAGTTACAATTACTTAATTTTTTTTTGGTAACGAATTGGCAACGACGTTACATTTTTTCATGTGCAACGTTCACGGTAACGTAGTTACATTTTGTCGCCGACGATAACGATTTTAGTAGTTACTTTTGTCGTTACTTTACCGCTTAGCAGTTCAGTGATCTTTAACATGATTGGTTCTTGCCTGTAGTTCTAATGGGTTTAAATAAAAGGCAATTTATTAGTATATTTATTATAATATATTTGCTGATTTTTAATTAATAAACTGTATTTGCGAGGTGTTATCAAAATATTCCGTTGCTATATTTAATTACAGATTCTCCACTATGTTTCAAAGAAAAGATTTTATAATTGCAAGCTGTTTACATCCCAAATTTAAATTAAATCGGTTAACTGGAGAGAGGAAAAAGTTTGCTGAAGGCTGTTTAGAGGATTAATTCAATCAAAAGGCAATTCTCCAAATATTAATAAAGACATTGATAATCTTTTTTTTTTAAATTTCATCGGCAAATGAATCCGTCAAAGAACTGCAATGTTTTTTAAAATCAAAGAATTCTAACATAGATGTGCAGCATGATTATAAAAAAATTAAGACACTTTTTATTAAATACAACACTGCCCTTCCAATTAGTGCCTCGATAAAAAGGCTATTCAATGTGAAAGATCACGAGATACGGTAGTGTCTCGCGCCAAGTGTATTTGTATGGTTAGGCCACGGTCTGTAAGACCGTGGGTTAGGCTTGTCGCTTATACTTGGCGCGAGACACTACCGTGTCTCGTGATTAACGCCGCGAAGAGGTCAGCTTAATGACGATTCCGTGGAGTTTCAACTTCTTTTAAAAGTTAATAAATCATTTTGGTAGAATTTGGTCAGAAAATTATTGTCCTTATACTTATTCTTTTACTAGAGGATATAATTTGACTTATGCCTTCTGTTTATATTTACCGCAGAAACTTGTATTTAGTTGTACTAATGTCAAGAAAAAAGTAACGAAAACAGTAACGGCTCGTTAGTTCTTTTAGTGACGGTAACGGTAACGAGTTTCTTCTCAGAAGAAAGAACAGTAACGGTAACGAGTTACATTTATAAAGTAACTTTCCCAACCTTGTCTGTTGCTGATAGTCGTGCGGTACAATTGTTACTTTTACATGTTGACGTGTACATGTTTATTCTTTGCAAACGTTTTGTCCTTATATACATATTCAAGACTTGAGGTGCAAGACAATTACTGTGCGTTAAACCCATAGACATATAAAAGATAGACTGCTTATGAGGCAGTGAAACCCTAGGTGGGGGCATCCTCCTGAGGGAAAAAGGACAACATGAATTTATTTGGGTATCTGGCTTCCTCTAGTGGACGTGATCTGAAGGCGATCACGTGATCATGTCCACGTGATCGCCTTCAGATCACGTCCACTAGAGGAAGACAGATACCCAAATAAATTCATGTTTTCCTTTTTCCCTCAGGAGGATGCCCCCACCTAGGGTTCCACTGCCTCATAAGCAGTCTATCTTTTATATGTCTATGGTTAAACCTAATCTACATAGAAACATTCTATTTTATATCAGCAAATCGAAACGCTCAAAAACTTTGTCGACAACATATGATTGTACAATGTATTGTATAATGTACAATTTATCAACTTGCACAAATTTTTTAAACATTCATTGACTACGAAATAGAATGTTTCTAGACGCAAAGAGCACAATGTATAGATTAGGCTTTAAACTTAAAACAGAGAACATAAAACATTGTCTTAAAAGTACAGGACAGTTAATCTGCTGAGAACCTTAAATATAATCTTAATGTACTGTAAATCAAGTAGCAGTATCAGCATTTTAAGTCTGCTTACTTAAGGCTATTTGTCTTTTAAGAAACACGGTCGATACTTTCGACACAAATCGACACACGTAGCTTTCCACTTAGACTTTGATTTATACTCAATTGACACTGTTCGACTCTGCTCGGGAAGAGAGTTGGAATGTGTCTTTGACCAAAGAACGCATCCACTCCCAGTATTTCAACAGTATCTGTTTTTGATAGAATCTTTTCTTAGAATCTTTGCCGTTTAACTGCGGTAAACTGTGCTCGAGTGTGTTAATCTATGTCGATTTGTGTTTCCTAAAAGGAAAACAGCCTAAGACAAGCTTGAAATAAGAATGTGAATATCCTGAATATGTGAATATGATAGAACTATCTGCCAAGTCGTATATCTGCATTCTTGATGCTCGGTTCGTTTACCAACAGTTTCGCCCGATTCCCCAAAGAGGTCAGAAAACCTCGACCCTGCCTCTTGCACGATTTTGAATTCAAGTGACTGTTGTTTTACAGGCAAGAAGTATGGATATCACATCAGATTTCGCTCGCCTCAAGGTATGCATATTAGAGAAGGCGTCGCGTATATCGGCGACCACGAAGATGGATCGCATCACGATCGGGCCTCAATCGGCGCTGTACCAAGAAGAGTCTGACAAGGCGGATAATATTGAGAACGAGCGAAATTCCTGCAACATTAAAAGTCCGCAAATTGTTACCAGTCCCAAGTACAACATGGTAGCCACTTCAAATGGCATTCATTTCTCGACCAAGAAGCTTCAGCTGGAGAGGGAGCGGCAGCGGCAAGAAGAAGTCCATGTAATTTTGATTATTACACATGTATATTAAATATTATTAATGGGTCTATTCTGTAAACTTCTGTAACACAGTATCTTTATAAGTTACGTAGCACTGTAGAACAAGAGAAAAAAGAAGATAGAACTTATAGAACCAAAAGTTAACGGAATAAACCGATTAGTCTTTAATTTAACATATAGTTTTCACATAAGTTTATTATTGAATGGATCTGTGGGTACTAATTTGAGACAAGTATAATGTTGGTTAAGTTATTAGCATACATTACAATAATCGACAGAATAGATTTTGAAGAGACAAGACGAATATATAACTCCAATTAAATTTTATATTAAATATGTGATTAACACTGTAATTATTTTAATTAGCACTGTTCTCTATCGTTATTTCTTCAACTGTATTGCAGCAAACCATGTCCCGTCGTGTTCAGCACATGGAGGAGAATAATCGTGCCATCAAGGAGCAAATGACTATGTCGCTCTTGTTGATGGCAAGTGAACGCATACGCCAGAGCAAGGCGGGCATTGAGGCTGAGGTAAAGCGAATCGCGAAGCAGGAAGAGATTGAGGAGAAGCAACGGTTGGCACAGCGCGATCAAGAGCAAAAGGAAAGGCAAAGGGAGGAATATGAGAGGCAGTTGAAAGAAAAGGAAGAAGTAAAGAAGGTCGTGCTGATCCATCGAGGTCAATGTATGGCCAAGTACTATGATTTCAAGGCATTAGCCATGACTTGCAAAAATGAGCAAGCATTGAGTGTGCCCTTTGTGACATATGACGCAGAGTTGTTCCAACAACTTCAAGCTTTAGACGAGAAAATTAAAGTAATTATCGAAAAAAAGAAACACTGTAAACGTAAAAATGTGTATATGGATATTTTTGTTAAAGTCGCATCTTGATCATGAATTCTTAGAAGTTATTTCTAAAACATCCTGCGAATTATTACACAACGTTTACTTAATGCATGCTTGTCTCTCTTTTTATAGAATGAAGAGTTGTTAGATATAAATATTAGCGAGGATGTAGTTCGTCACTTCGACCACGTGTTGAATTCATATCGTATGGAAATAGGTTCGTGAATATTTTTACACATTTATATCTCAATAAACTTGCATTAAATATAAATATACATATATAAAAGTGCACTTGTTACCACCTACAGAAAAAATAAATACTGAATATGAAGAGGAATTGGCTCGCAAAGCGCAAGCTGCAAGCCAAGTACAGCCAGTCGAAGAGACAGACAGTGTTCCAGTTAGTGATGTTATGCCTCCTCAACAACCAGACGAGAGCAATGCTGTGGAAAATACAGAAGACCAAAGTTCTAGTGTGATAACGAATCAAGAAGCAGCCATTCCAATTAACGAATCAGTTGTACCGTCCACATCTGATTATAGATCGGAAGAAGCGACTAATGATTTCACATGCAGAAGAGGTGCATTAAGATGTCTAAAGTTTAGCATATAGAATGTATTTTGAGAGATTTTTTGATGTGTAAATTAATAATGCGCGTGCATGTGCACGTGTGTGTGTGTGTGTGTAGATAGAAAATTAAATTAATTAAATCTAATGTAATTTAATTTTCTATCTAAATTTTGATTTTCATCTGACAAGATTAATTAATTTAATACGTTTGTAATATTGTAAATTTGTAGGAGATCCCTTCGAGTACGTTGACCAGGAATCATTGCAGATTTACGTCAGAAGTAAACAATTCTTGGAGCTCTATACAGAAACTTGCAAAGACTTCTTACAATCGGCTGCTACAAAGAAATTCCGTTTTGAGTGCCAAAAGGCGATCAATATACCTGTAAACGCAATTTCCGGTGTAAGCGAGCAACACTTGAGAGACAAATATGACAGGCTCCATAATCTTTTGATCGGAAAATTGTCTCCTAACGTGACGCAACATCCACAAGGCGTGATCTTCTGCAAGAATCATCTGGCGAAGAAGATAGTCGTACGTATCTACATTCTACATATCTTTCTAAAATTCATAATTATGGATGCTTTCAATTTTATATGTATTTATCGTGATCAATTTCCGTCCTTTTTTATTCGGAAGCAAGAGGAAAATATGTAATAAAAATTAAATTATGTATAAGTTAATTTGCATTGTAACTAATTTTGCTCTCAAATTATATGTATTCGGTGGTTTTTAAATAAATTCTTAATCAATGATCTACGAATCCTTAGAGCCAAGGCGAGACGTTGGTATCTAGCAAGCCGGAAATGGCATTTCCTGTGGCGATGATTGTCGTGGCTCTCTGGAACGAGCATCCCGATTTTGGCGAACTGTTTCTGGCACATCTTCACGAGGCGTGCCCGTTCACCGTGCCAGTTTTCTTGCAACAACAAGAAGGCCAGTCCAACGAGGATTATTATAAATCTCTCGGTTGCAAATATTCTGAAGACGGCACTGTTGAGCAGCAGGATAAGTTCCTAAAGAGGATGTCGGGATTAATAAGATTGTATGCATCGATTACCGTTACGAGACAACGGAAAGGTGTTACAAAAGTTCATCCCTATGGTCTTCAGCACGCCTGGAGATGGTTGGCGGCTGTTTTAAATATCGGTAAGAAAATATGAAAATATAAAACAATATAAAGGAAAAAAATCTTAATATTATGCAATAAAAATTTTTTAAATATGCTGCAGAAGAGATATTAAAATAAAATAGAACGCTCGCCATAGAAAATCTTTGCAATATGCAAAATTTTAAGTTAAGGTTCACGTATAAGAAAAATTTGTATTTTTAATTTTTAGAGCCACGAGCCGATATTTGTGATTTATGCGCGACTTTGATACTGGACATGCTCGAAGTCGCCGGTAATGTGCTGTGTCATGCGTATCCGAAGCAGTTCAATAAATTGCTGGTGTTGTTAATGGAGCAATATTATCCGCGTATGCAAAGTGTTGCGGGTGGCGGTGGCGGGCCTTTGGTACGGCTGGAGGAGTTTCTGAAAAACACCCTGAAGAGGGGCACTATACGTCTCGCCGACGGAATGCTTCCGCCTAACTTTTTCTGATCTTCCGTGAAAATATCCCGACGACGTAGTGATCTAAATGTAGGCTGAAATTTATGACGAGTCTAGCGATGAGCTAAAAATAAGAATCAAATTTAATATGTACTTAAAAATCCGATGGGCTAAGAATGGAATCAAGTTTAATATGTACTTAAAAATCCGAGTCACATCCAATAATCAAGTTTTATTTCCTGAAATTCGAGTAATATTCATAAGAAATATTTGCTACATCGTACTTGCAATCGAATCCCGATCAGTTTTGAATTTTAGAATGAGCGCCTGCAGATTTAAACTTTCATTATATACGTTCAAAATTATTCAAATATATTTCTTAGCTAGTGATGGGAAGTATTTTATAAGTAGATTGGAATCTGTTGTAGTATCGAACTCTCTGTGATATACTTGAAAAGATAAAAGCGATTATAAAAGCTTCAAGTATA